TTTCACGCATTACATCTTATTTCATTTGTAAATAGGTCAAAAGATAAAAAGGAAAGTGACCTACATTATACCACAGGATTACACCTACATTTCCAGGTACTTTCTAATGGTTCAAGATAGGTCAAATATAGTTACAGAATCTTATAAAATAATCCTAGATGTAATCTATGGTTATAATTTAGGTGTATCTTCCAGTAGTTAAAATCCTTATGTAAATTTGGGTCTTTTGCCGCACATCCNNTCATATTGTTGTTCCTGGTTTCGTTCTTGTTTTGTTCATTCTTTTGCCCTTTTCTCGCTTCTCCCATTCGTTCCTCATTCTGCGTTCATTGAAAAAGAGCAAAAAGAATTAAACAAAAGGAACGAACCAGTGAACAATATTATGATGAAGGGTGTTGGGTGGTTCGTGTGTTTCTTTTAATTTAATCACGCGCTCCCTCTTTTTCTCTCCCTCGCTTGTATTAAATTAAATAAAACAAACGACCCACGGAAAAGGTGAGAAAATAAGAAGATTATAAGTGGAAAACTAGGTCAAGATATAACCAGATAAGACAAGAGAATTTCATTATAACCGCATGAAACAATTGACCGTGTAAACGAGAACTCATCCACTTTTGATGGGCCTTCTCATCGGGCCAAGGTTGGTCTGAGCCCGGCAGAGCAACAGCTGGAAGCCGAGAAAGCCGCGGCGCAGGTGGATCAGGGCTTGGGGTTTGGAGTTTATAGGGGTCAGGGTGTAGGGTTTATAGGGTTTGGGGTTCATAATTTAGGGTTGCGGGCATCCGGAGGGAAAAGGTAGATGTTCGGCAGCGTGCAGACAGGTGCAGTTAGAATGAATTTTCAACCCAGTGCCGAGAATAATGTATATTGCCGGAGCAGGGTTCCAAGTTGTCAGAGCTGACTCGGGCGATGAGGTGAAAAGTCTTATCGGCAACACCGGCAAGCGCGCCGAGGCCAGCTTTTCGGTGCAGTGAAGAGGGGCTGATTTCAGTCAAAGAGGTGTTCGTTAGACTGCTGTTTGCCTTGCTGCTTTGTTATGAAGTACGTTATAGGAAGCCCGACTAGGGTGACACGGTCGTGTGAGCATCTGAAAGAGGGCACGCATGGTCATGACTGTCGTATATACGAACACCCTCTTTCTGCTGGCATGTTCTTTAACATGCCAGGAAGGAAAGAGAGAGAGAGAGAGAGAGAGAGAGAGAGAGCGAGCGAGCCCTGCACCATGCCGAGGGAGGGCGGCCATTTCCGCCCACGATCCGATAATCTAGCCCCAGAAGTTCACCTGTCCCCTCCCAACCGGGTCTTGGGAGGATTCCAGAGAGCAATAGGATTTCGGAGTGCAGTCGTCATTGCACAGTGCTGAAGCAAGGAGCTTTGAGGTCACAGCAGTTTGTCCTGACGAAATTAGTCGGGCCCCACAGTATCGGTCGCCGTGCAGGTGGCTGTCCACCCGTGGCAGGCGCTGGGCAGTCTCTTGTCGGCAAGGGTTTTTGGCCTTGCCAGCTCTTGTTTGACCTCGTTTAGGGTTTAAGGATTCAGGGCTCAGTCCGTGCTGAAAAAAAGGAATTAGGGAAGATGAGCCGAGTTCGCAGTCATATGGGCTGCGGAGTCAACTCGGTAGCTTGGACTTGAACCAACGACCTTTGGAGTTTTAGACTCGCTTGTACCCAGAAAGCTGGGCCGCACCTTTATGGTTAAAAGAGAATCAGAACTGAATCAGAACGATGGTGGTAAACATCGTGTGTTAGGCATTAAAAAAACGTGGTGCTTCACTGCAAATTGGCATCTATATTTAGATCTCGCATATAATATTTCATTTGCAGGCTCGCCCACTCGAGAGCCGTCATTGCTGCCGAACCAAGCGCAGATATTGGGGGCGGGGCCCGCGACGGAGAAGTCGTTCATGCCCGTGACTTGGTCAAGAATAGATTCAGTCTTTCAGTAAGAGGTGCTGTGGTTCTTGTTGCTCCAAATCTACCGGCAATGGTGCAGGGTTCCGACCTCTAACTGCTCAGCGTTTCAAATTGATGGTTGCTGGTTTCCGGAATCCCCAGCCCAGCCTAAGTGGGGTTGCAGCATGTCCCAAGGCAAAGGTCTCCTAAGTCCCTGATCTTCGCCCACAACCCAGGAATGTGCGCAAGCCGGCATTGCCTACGATGACATCGACCACCCGACACTGAATGGAGGAGTCTCTCGCCTTTGCACTAGAGTCGCATCGCTAGCAGTGTGTACAAGTTGGTATACCGAAGCTGTTGGTCTTAGTAGTGTCATCGTGATTTTGGTTTGTTCGGCAGACTGCTGCCTTGCAGCAGTCCCGAGAGATTTGCCTGTCCGTGGTACGGATAGCTTCGTTCGTCGGGCAGGTGTGCCAACTACTTATGATTTCTGTCCTGGGGGTGCAGGTCGTAAAGCTCAGTGTTGAGGAACGGGTTGTAAGTTTAGAATTTACAGGGCCTTGCATCTGTCTCCGGGATTCGCGATATGAGTGAGGTCGTGGACAACGCGGAGCACTGCCAAGTCTCCTGCAGCCTGAACTGGTTCTGTGAGCCTGGGCCAGAACTGGTCCAGCCTTCTCTGGTGTATCTTCTTTTTTCAAGGCTGCATGTATATACCTATAAATATAGTGTGTACGTCTGGTTAGAAGTTCCTATATAGGTATTATGAAGCCAAAGTATTACAGTATATACTTTCTAGGTACATGGACCTCTGGGGTTTGCTGGACGGAGATAGTTGGAGTTGAGTACGTGGCCTTTTCATTTTCGCAGGAACCGGAAGCCTGCAAGGTTTGTTATTTTCTGCCCCATACGCCAGTGGGGCCTAGGATGCCGGCCAAGTCTCCTGCTCCTTCTAAGTAGGCCGGAAAGCAGAGTCTCAATATCAACTCGTGTGTCACCGAGGAAAGCTTCACTTTTTTCCTGAACACGAAGCAGTGCTGGTTGCTTGGAATCAAAGGCACGCCCAGACCTGATGCTTGGCTTTCTTCAGTTCTGAAACTGCCGGGTGTATGCAGCTTAACAGCCTCTGAAGCATCGTCCCATGGAAGCCCGGCGGAATTGTCGCTTGATGTGATGCTGTTCTTGCTGCCACGAGGATGCTGCTTACCCTAGCTGATACCATAACCGTTGTCATCATTGCCAAGAAGACTATGGTTTACAAAACAGCTGCAAGCTTTTCAGCCCAGGGCCTACATGACTCGCAGCTGAGGATCTAGATGCTATCAGTGGCCCTCAGGTTTGCGGCACGCGCATGGAGGTCGCAACAGACATCCATAAGACATTGACGGTTCTATTGCCCTTGTACACTGTACCTTTGGTGGCGATCCTCTGCTGTTGCGGATTAGGTCTAGGTGGTGGCTTTTTGCTTCCAATTAGACACGCTTTGTTGGCGTGACTCTCAGATGCAACTGTTTCCGTCGATAGCGCGGTTGCAATATAATAAGGTCAAGTAGTTGGTGCGAGTTTGGGGCTTAGGTCTGGCATGACCAATCACAAATCCAAAGCCATCGGCTGCAGGATTTGGGTAGGGAAACAAAGGCGGCTTTGAGGTACAAAAAGATTCTCTGTGAGTCGGCCAGGGGTGGGGTGCTGCAGGCTGCATGCAGCATTTAGTTTCCAATCTGAGAGCTATGGTGGCCATGGGAGGCGCCGGAACTGCTTTCAGCATTGTGCTTCGCGTTCGCTGGAGGCAACATTTGTCCCGGCAGGTATCCAGCAGTTTCCGTGGTGTCCATTGGAATCGAGCCACTGGCAAATATCACACGACGGTCCACTTCAATGACATGACTCATCACGTCGGCTACTTTGTGTGCGAACTCGCAGCTGCCAAAGCATTTGACACACGCTTGCGATCGTTGTGCGACGATGGAGTGCGACTGAAGAAGTCATTGAATTTCCCTACCGTGCAAGAAGCAGGCTTTGAGAAGTGCCAAGTGGAAGCGCGAGAAGATGCACTTCGAGCTCATCACACCAGGCTGCGCACGGAAGAGGAATCTTTCCGCACCCTGTGGCGACTTTTCCAGCAGTCTTCTCAATCATCGCGTTATGAAATAGTTCGCATTGGTGGTTTTGCCCGGGCAGACGCACTTTTCAGACCTGTGGGCTCGGTTGCCGGCATTCGCTTGCAGATTAAGTCTTCCGCTGCCCGAGGGCCCAGCGGACGATCATACCGGTTTACGAGAACGAACGGGTATGAAGGGATGCTTTTGGTCCTGGTGGCGCCTGACATTGACGTGTGTTGGACAGTGGCAGGCGATCAAGTAAGAAGGCAGTCTACAGCTGTGTTGCTTGGATCCGACCGCGATCGAGCCTGGCGAGCGCAAGATGTTGGTGCCACATTGACCAGCTGCTTGCGAAACGACACGGCCTTTCCTCACGTTTCTCTTTGGGAAGCGAGACTTCGGTGTGGCTCTAAGAGCCATCAGGTGGAACAGTGGACCCATCTCCAGTTGGCGGAAGTTTTTTCTGTTTTGAATTTTCGTCTTCAACAATCAACCGCAGCGGGAGCAATTGTGGACTCCGTGCTCGAAGGAGATGGCTGCAGGTGGCGAGTGCAAGAGAAAGCTGCGAGCTTTCGCACGACACGGGGCGCGCATACCATATTTCTCCGAAGGCAGAGAGGCAGGCACTGCTATTCCGGTTATGAAGAAGGCGACTTTGACCTGCTCATGGCGGCTGTCCTAGATGCCGGACGGCTCTCGGGGCTGTTTGTTTTTCCTGTCCAGGTCTTGGTGGATCACGGGTTTGTCGGCCACAAGCCTGCCTGGTTACCCCTACACCCTCCGTGGGCTTTGCCGAAGAGACAGGCCACCAGGACCAAGTACGAGTGGCAGTTGGAGTATTTCGTTGATTTGCGCAGTTGGTCTGGAACCCTGCCGCTCTCTTGCGAAAGCAGCATGGCTCTTAGACAGCTGCTCAAGAAGCTCAGCGAGTCTTGTAAAAGCAGTGTTTGTGCAGTACTGCTTTTTGCTACATGCTTGTACGTCTAGCTATAAACCGTATAAACCAGGGGCTTGAAACTTGGTGTCATTCGCAGCACCGTCAGTGAATCGTCGATGGGATTGATCCAAATTCCAGCACGTGATGCAGCCTCGTCCAGTCTTTATGTATATGTCCTCGCCATGTGGGATTGCAGCCAACACAACTGACTCGAATTGGCGGCTTCTCTGGTTTCGGGTATAGAGAAAAGTGTCACATCTGTCCGTCCAGGCAGCTGCGAAGGCCATCACGAAAAGTGCTCTCGATGCAGCGGAGAAGTCTTTTGCATCAGGCGGCTTGACTGCCCAGTCGAGACCGCGGGGTCATCCGGTTCACGTAAAAGCCCACAAGCCTGCGAGTCAAGTGGAATGCCACACAGTCCAGTTGCCTACAACCCCACTCTTGGGTTTCCGGGTCACAAAGTTACCAACTATCTTTACACCTGCAAAGTCAGACATCTGTGAGGCAAACCGAAACGGAGCTATCGGCTAAGCACAGTTGCCGGACTCTGGACGAAAGCCTGGCCGGAGCTTCTGAGACGGTTTCGCTGAGGAGGTGGTGTCGATCCCAAAATCGCCTTGAATCGGGCGGCGACCGCGGCCAGGGACACTGCGAGACTTGATTTGCAGACTTGCGTGGGCAGGCTTCCTAAGGGCTTTATAGGGCCTGAAGGCATTTCCGCTTGTGCGTGCTAGCTAGCAATTGTGTCGGTGGCTATGCTCTCGCATGAACTAATATAATGGCCACGCTATTCCGGCCACAAGCTCCCCTCACCGTTCCTGAAAGAAAGTGTAAGGACGGACCTATGCTTACATACTTGCTGTTCCGTAATGAAGGGCATGTCAAACACTCCCCAAGCCATCATACCATAACAACATACATATAACAACGACATTTGTTCTGCCTCGGTGCGGCCACATCGTACATTCGCTGAAACCCCACTTCTCCAAAAAGGCTCCTGGCCACCTGGACAGTTCCATGCCTTTCGACCACATAGCCTTGACAACGAAGGAGTTCTTCAGAGCTCCCAGAAGATCGGCGCTGGGAGGAGGCCTTATAGCTTCAGGATTTAGGGAAGACTTCAGCTCCTTTTGAGATCGCTTGCTGCCTCCTCCACTCCAGGCCATTTCGAAGCAGGTTTCCCATTGGTACATTAACAAGTCCCTGTCGCGCTTTTGTGATGTCCAAAGCTACCCAGCCCCCTCATGTTCTCGCAGCTTGAGGCAGCTAGGTGTTGTGATTTTGAATCCTCTCGCAGGTCGCCCATGCTGTCGGTGCCGCCGCTGCCTGGATCGATGAGCACAATGGGGCGAGCGTTGACAAGCAGGTCGGGTGATAACCAAGTCTTCCTGAGCCGTGAAAGCCGTGAGACTGTTCACCCTGCAACCTAAAACTCCAAAGCAAGATTCGACAACATACCGTTCACAGAATGCAGGCATTCCGCCTGCAAACATAGTCTTCCTGTAACATTAGGAGCACTCGAAGGCTCCCTGCTGGCGAAGTCGAACTCTGTTGATATTCCTAAAGTCCTGAAGAGCATAGCCCAACCAATTTAGCCTGGTCATTGTGGCTGGTACTACTGCATGGTTGTTAACCGTGGCTATTATGTATGCATTTACCTAGCTTTTCCGTCGCAAAGGCGAAAACATGCAGCAGGTTTCGGCAGCTGCCAAAGCGGCGAAGTCTGTGGCAGAAAGCCATGGTATGACGCTGGAGATGCAGCTGCAGCTGGCTGCGGGACCCTGAGATGTTTGGTCCTTTTGGGGTTTATGGATTTGGGTTTTAGGGTTTGCGGTTTGCGACACCTTGGTGCAGAGACTGTAGCCTTTCACTCGGCATGCAGTGACCACGGTTCGCATTTCCATGCGAGAGCTAGCAGGAGCCAAAGAGTGCGCTTGCATCATTTGTTTGGTGCTTGTAGGGCAGCTATTAGCGATCACCTGGGGGCAGTCAAAGGTGGAAGCGGCTTCGGCAGCCGCTGCCCTCTCTGCAGGCGATGATGAGGAGGACCTCTGGTTGCTGGGAGACACTTCCGGTTTGTTTCTCCTCCCAGTGGAAGCTACAGCCACAGCGCGCGGATCTTCGAATCTCAGTTCCCTGTCCTATCATGTGACCGCTGCACGAATCCTCAAGGTGGATCAGCAAGGCATTGCTTTTACACGACGGGACGGCTAGACAGCAACGCAAGTGTCCGGAAACAGGCAAAAGCTGCACAACTCGGCCATGTGTTCATAGAAAATTGATTTTTTTGTTCGTTGAGGTAGTCATCGCGCCGGTATCTCACCTATGCTTAGAGGTCCCATCAATCCCCACTCTGCAGGCGCGGACGGAGGCAGTCATCAAGGCCGCCAAAGACACTGCAGCGGCAATGGGAGTGAGTGCAGAGGAGCAGACGGAGACTTGGATCAAACCAGTGGCTGGGAGCTGCTTGTTGGGCCCAACGGTAAGGGTTGATGGGAATGAATGCTTGCCGCACGTGATATAGTTGTCTAAGCCTGCCCCATGACCCATGTACAAAGGGAAGGGACGTTTCAGAGCGCTGCCGCCGGGATAACACATACAAGTGCCCACTGGGCCCCTTGAAGCCCAATATGCAGGTGATTGCAGGTGCCAAGCTGAGCAACCCTTCGGATACGGTGCGTTTGTGCGAGAACACATATGCAGGTACGCAGGTACGCACCATTGTGCGCGTGTCGATTCTGGTAGTCTCACTGTTTCAGGTTTAGGGTTTCCCTCAACCCTATCTTTGCCCTCTGCTCAAGCAGGCGAAGAAAGCCTTCTCAAACAGTTTACGGTTCAGGGTTTAGGGTTTCGGGTTTCGGGTTTTGGTTTAGGGTTTCGGGTTTAGGGTGTAGGGTCGAAAACCCTCTGCCAGGACCTGGCTGTGGAGGCTGCAGCCCGGATCGCCGGGCTCGCAGCCAAGGAGGCAGGCAAAATACGGAAGGCCTGTGCCGCCAAGTCTCAGCCATATCCTGCATGCTGAAGCTTAAGTTCAAACGTTAAGGACTAATAGCTCGGCTTCGAGTTCCCTTGACCAGTTCAGCCACAAAACATGGCAACACAAAGACTTCGAGTTGTGCCAGTTGAAAACAGGAGCAGCTTGAAGCCGTGGCGGCTGCAGCCGACGCAGCTGCGCAAAGCCTGGGCCTACCGACGCCTCGGGCGAAGGAGGTCTCGTCATTGGGGCCAGAAGAAGATTTTTCGGTTTCAATGAGACATGCGCTCAATGATTCCACAAGGGTTTCGAGATCGCAGGCTGCTTTACAGTGCAGATGCCTGAAGTTGTTGGACCAGAAGCACCATGCATACAGTTCTGCAGATGCTATTTGTAATGACTGAGCCGTGCAGTGTCACTGTCAATCTAAAGTAGTCGGCGGCTCGCGACCAGCAGACCTACAACTGTTGGGAGCTGCTGGTGCGGGGATATTTCAGTCGGCATGTGTTGTTGCTTCCCTGGAGTTGGCTAGCCCTCAAGTCAATGTCAATTGTTCGGCTGTCCACAACCTGCATTTGGAAAATGCGGCAGGGGAGCAACTCAGTTCCGTCTTGCCACAGCTGTTCCGATTCACAGTCCGATCCTAGGGACGGTCCTGAGGCTGTTTTTTTGAACAGTTGATCCTTCATGTAGGAATATTGGAACCTGGGAGTGCGACACTAAAGCCCACGCCATGCAGGTCGCAGCAACCGCCACGAGTTCGGCATACATAGCGTCGAAGGCCCCGTGTGGGAATGGTTGGCCAGGTTGTCCCCTGCAATGCTGACGTGCTTAACCCTGGTTGCTGAGGGCTTCGAAGTAAGGCCGCTTGCCAGGGGAAAAATACACCAGAATGAACGTTAGTAGCCATGATAATGCACACAATAGATACCAAGAACCTTGAAGAGGTGTACACCTCAACGAGATGTCCTAAGCCTTCGTCGATTCGCTCCGCTGTTTAGCATGAGTTTAGATTCAGGTTGGCATTGTAGGCATAGTGCAACAGCTACAGCTCAGAAGATACTGGCCGAGTTGCTGCAAACCCCAAGACCGTGAAGCCGGCTTTCGGCAGAACAGCAGTCTTTTGGTCATAGAGGGATGATTTGTTCCACAGTAGACCCGTGCATGTCTTGGAGGCCGTCGGCACGACAAGCTGAAGGGGTTAGTGAACAAACAGATTGTAGTAGGGGTGTGGCCAAACAAACATCTGTGGACGACAAGCCTGTGTATGCTGAGCGGCTTCACAACATCAAAGTGGCTCCAGGACATCAGCGCCCTCGACCCGATACAGCTGGCCATCAAGAGACCGTGCTGCACTACTTCTAGTCTAGGTAGAGCATTACTAATCGAAGCCACAGGAACACAGCATACATCCAAAGTAAGTGGCACATCCTAAAACATGTGGCGTCGGATGTGTACAGCAGGACTTGTCGAAGCCACAGCCCCTAATCTGGGATATGTTGCCGGCACCTTCAGAACATGTTGTTCAAGCCAAGCGTGCATTAGCATTAAGTGTCCGGCAGTGCAAGTCCTTGATGCAGTGAGCAGCTCCTAGCTGCTGCAGTTGTCGGCTCGTCTCTGTATAGCAGCGTTCACATCGCCTGTAGCCTCCGGGCTCGGGGCTTGACAGCCGAGGCGGATTGGCGTGCAGTAGGATTGTTGAGGGTGCTGCTACGGCCTCAACATGCTGGAACTTTTTCGAGATGTGCAGAGTCGCAGCCATCCCCACCGTTTGTTTGAATAAGGACCCTGGGATTCGACCCAGAGACGGTTCCGAAGTGCTCCATAGTGAACACTGCCTTCAACGAGCTTTGGCTGCGGTGGGCCTAGGCTTTACTTACAAAGTCTAGAAGGCTTGCACTCCAGGGTTGCAGTTGAAGTCCAGCAGAAATGTGTAGGCCGCGATCACTTCCCATTGGTTTTCGGATTTGTCAACCCTGCGGGCCCAAGTACCGAATAATGTATTGTATATATCTATATCTATATCTATATCTATATCTATATCTATATCTATATCTATATCTATATCTATATCTATCTATCTATCTATCCATCTATGTATCTATCTATATCTATCTGTTCTATATCTATCTATCTATCTATCTATCTTATCTATATCTATATACATGTATATATATATATATCTTCTCCCGAACACTGACCTACAAAACGTCTCTCCTGAACACAAGTACCTGGTCCTCTGGACCCTTTGAGAGAGAGAGACAGAGAGGACATGCAATGGACTTCAAAGTGCGAAAGCCAGTGGAAACCGATGCTGTCGCTGTTTAGACGTATTCTCCCATGAAGGAGAGTCTTGGCGTAGTCTGGCGTTTGGAGCACGGCAAGACGTGAAGCTATGATTACACTCACGGAAGTTTGATTCAACATCCGAAGCCGCCTTACGACATGATATGCGTGAGGACGAGACTCATCCTGTCAATGGCGGATACGTGGCATCTGCAAATCAGTGCCAAGAGACCTGCCTCTTGGCAACGTACCAGGTTACCTTGGATGTTAAACAAAAAACAGGATGGAGGCAAACCTCTGTTTTTCTGGTTTTTTAGCGTTTAGCACTCGGATTCTGGGCTAGTGGAACGGGACGTGCAGATATTCCAAGCGAAGTGTTGGATTGCTTTCGCTTGTGCCTTTCGAACGACAACCGCTAGCTCTGTCGAACTCTGCGTGTCTTTCAACTCTGTCCAACTTCGCCATGCACGGCGCGTTCTATGACCTGGAAATGCAGGAGTTATGCACTGCACAAGCCCCAGAACCCCCAAGCTCTACAGTGCAAACCACTGAGCCCTAATATTTTGCAGTCCCAAGGCCAGACCCTTTGGTACTGCGAGACATTTACCTACAATGTCACCTCGAAGGTCGGTTACTCGAAGTTTGTGGAGATCTTCGGATGGGGCGTTTGTGAGTGTGTTCTAGATTTCTAGAGTTGAAGGAGCTTTGGATGGATTTCGTTGTCACGAATCTTCGAAGCTGTCGAAAGTGTAGGCTGTAGGCGCGGATGGCGGGTGAGTCATATCGTAGGACCTGCTTGCATTCAGCATGGTGTTCGACTTCGCTTGCCACGTGCGTACATATGTGAATAAGTGCCTGATTATTCTCACCCGTCAATGACTCGCCACGAGATAGTCGCATCCTGCAGGCACCGCAGAAGCACAGTTGATGGTCCCCTAAACCCTAAACCCTAAACCCTCCCCAAAGTGTCCTTGTTGTCAGGCGTGTTTCTTGCTGGGAGACAGCGCCACCGCTTCACCTTCGCAGCACGTGGCGCGGCAAGCGCTATAATGTCTTGCCTATAGTCTCCATTGTAGTTCCTTTTTTGGTTTAACCAATTATATATTAGGGACAGGTGCTGCTTATGAGTCAGAAACGGAGGGATGGATCCTGGTGGGATGAATGAAAATCATTATTTGCGGCTGGCAGTGCTGGATGCATTGCACGTCGCCATACGTGCCCAGCGGCGCAAGTAGCTTTTTCAACCAAGCCACATACGGACGATGTGCTTGAAGCTGTTTTCTCCAACGACTCACTTCTACGGAGTTATGTACATGTCAAAACCCCTCCTTAATTATAAGTCCTTTCCCTAACCCCCCTGGTACCTACTATATAGGGTACTAGAGCCCCTAGGGCCCTACATAGTAGGTACCTGGAGGGTTTGGGTTTAGTTTGGGGTTATAAGGTGTAGATTGTACACCTCATCTTGGCGAGCCCGAGTCCAACAGCGAATGCGTCAAAAATCCCCAAAAGCCGCAAGGTCCTAAACCCTCAATCCTCAAGGCTCCAAGTATACAAATAGTACTTACTTTGGAGTCTAAAGTCTGTAAATATTACCTACTTTGGGCTATTTGGAGCCCCAAGGAATGGCCATAAACCGCAAGAGTTCGGACCAGATGAGTCTGTCTTTTTGGTTTGGGGTGTGTGTGCCCATAGGCCCTCAAGTAGTTCCTCTTCGGGGAGAATCCTATAAGGTAACCCCCCAAAAGGAGCTACTATGAGGCCTATGGGTGGACACCCAAAAGATATGCCAAGAGGAGGCCCTGAATGGACCAATCCCGAGGTGGTGAGTGGTCCAGTGAAGTGCGGCCAGCGGCTGCTGCTGAAATTCGCAACTTCGCACTGGCTCAGGCATGTTTTGGCTGTTTTGGTTCTTTGAGCGAACTGTTCGATGAGAGTGCAACACAGGCTGTATGGGAACTTCTGCAACATCAGCGATAATATCCAGATCATATTATGTACGAATATTCCCAACCCGTATTCTGTGCAATCAGGCCCTGATATTTGGCTGAGGCTTGGGATGTTTAGGGTCAGTAGGGCTGAACGTTTTGTTCCAGAATTGTTGATTCGGTGTCCAGGGTTTAGTGGTCTGCAGGGGTGCAGGTTCAGGAGTTTGGGGTTTAGCGATGGGGCTGCAGCTTGGCTTAGGGTTCAGGGGTCAGTGGATATAAGGGTCTAGGGCTTACGGTTCAGGATTTAGCATCATTCAGCTACTTAGATAGCCAATTGGGAAACCTGAGACTTTGTTAGCCTCACATGTTGGGTCTATCTAAGAAGGTTCGGTCTATCTTAGAAAGTTTGAACCTTTTTTGGGGCCCAGTTATTGAAGAAGAAAACATATAGGGCTTGGGGAGATTGGGGTTTGGAGGTCTCTGGTTTAGGCTTACGTCGGTTGAGGGCTTTTGAAATTGTTGGGGTCATGGCCCTGGCCTTTAGATGATTAGTTGTTATTGCTTTTCCTGTGGAAGAGCCATCGCAAGAGTCACCCGGGTTAGGAAGCATAGTTTGTTTGCAGACCTATATTCTGCAGTCGGGACCGCTCCCGACGAAGACTTGCTGAGCTGCTTTAAGGTTCTGATCTGCCTTTACGAAAAACCTTGTTGACATGGATTAGCTGACCTCGATTCTGAACCCCTAAATATCAAGCGAGAGTGGGCGCCGAAATCCCAACTTATATACTTCACCATACCCTGCATGGCGATTCGCCCAGCAATGCAGGAGGCAACAAGATGAGGCACTCGACTACCTATGTTGATGCCCGTAGACCAACTAGACAATAGAAAGAACCACCGATATTCGCGAGCGCTTATTAACCCTCAGCAGTCCCAAACTCAAGACTGCCTAGGTGAGCATTCACGATGCCATGCGAAGCATGTCCAACTCGGCGCTTCAGGCATAGACATGCCTGAGCTTGCCTTGGACATGGGGTTTCGAGACCTGAACAGGTTGAGGGCGCACTGCAGGTTCAGAATTCAGGCGCTAGACTGTATTCTGTAGTGCGCGGCATTGTCACATACCCTGCGCTAAATTCTGTAGAGTTTGTCGGTATCCAGGGCTTCGGATGCTACACAGATTCCCAAAAGAGACAACCCCGGCAAGGCTGCAAACGTCGAACTTCTGCAGCTATTAAGCCCCGCAAATTCAGAACCATCGGGCTGCCTGGACAGGCTGCTCAAGAAGCTCGCCTGGCTGGAAAAGGCGGGGTGGAGCATTTTCTTGTGTTTTTTGGGGAGGGGGGGGACAAATGGGAGCCGGAACTTCAGTCCAGGGCGTTCATCCTTTGATACTACAGCTACTACAGCTCTTCCCGCACATATTCCAGCTGTGTGTCATGCTGATTATCGCACGAAGGGGTGCACTTAGCACGGACGTGCTGGGCAGGGCGAGCCTCAGTTTCCGTAGCCTTGCCAAGCAGTTCAATCTGGATTTCCGGTGGAGCAGGTGCGCTAGTTGGAGTGGAAATGTAGGTGCACAATCGGTGCACAAGGTGTTTGGCATACGGTATAAGTTTCGCATAAATACATGTACAGCATGTATGCATGCATGCCTGTATGTTTGTATGT